ACCTGCCTCGGCCTCCAAACGTGCTGGGATTACAGGTGTGAACCACTGAGCCAGTCCTAGTAACCTTTTTCAAAGAGAAAAACACCCCACCTCTACAAACATGGATGCACATGCACACAAACAAACACACACACACACACACACACACACACAGATTTTAGAATAAGGGCAAAATCTCCTAAGGACTTATGAAGCTATGCATGGGCAGCTCCCTAGCTACTTCGCCAGTTTCATCTTGCACCATCGTCCCCTTTATGTTCTGTGCTCCAGTTACACTGACCTTTAATCAGTCTCAAACTTGCCATTCTATAATAAAGTAGGTCTGCAACTCAGAGCTTCTGAATATGTTGTTCCCTCTACTAGAGATACTCTTCCATTTTCTCTCTACCTAGTTAACACCTGCTCTTATTTCAGCTTTCAATGACTACTTCCTTAGAGAAAACTTCCTGATGGTCAAATTACCCACACATATGCCCTTGTTGTACCATATTATACTCTGTGTAATACCTACCACTGTTGCAATGTTACCTTTATTTGTGTGATTACTTGACTAATGTCTTGCTTTTCTACTAGACTATAAATCACATGAGGATAGATTGTCAGGGTTTGCTTATCATTGCAACCCCAGTATCTAGCAAAATGTTTAGCATATGGTGGGTTCTCAGTAAGTATTCATTTCAATGAATGAGCTTGGAGGCCAAATTGAACTAAGGGAATAAATAGATAGTAAGAAAATATAGTGAATTTACCCAACTTTTGATTTTAATGGGGGGAGAAAAGTATTTAGAGGGATATGTTGAGATTAAGAATGGGTTTGCTAGTTGGTTGGTTCAAAAGCTGGAGAGGCTAAAACAAGCTTAAGTGCTAATAGCAAGAATCCAGCAAAGAAGAAAAGTTAAATGATTCTCAACAAAGATGGAATAACCAACAGTATAATACTTCTGAGAAGCCTGGGTAGAACTACTGGCCTTAGAAAAAGCAGCAGCATCTCCATTGTAGCAGGATAAGAAGAGAAAAGGGAAAGTGTCAAAATAGTTTATAGATCTGGTGGTAGAAAGTGAAAAGATAGATAGTTCTAATGACTTCTATTTATCTAAGATGTCAAAAGAGGAGTGATCTGCTGAAAGTGAGGATCTAAAGGACTCACACTGGAGGAAAGTAGTAAAACAAAAAGTAAGATTGCTCACTGGGACTGATAATCTAGTTGAAATTAGTGGCCAAGTACTTACTTGGCAGAAGTTGCCCAATAATGAGAGATTTTCCAGCTGTGCTTGGAACCTTCCACAAAGAAGGTAAACAGTCATTAATATTGAAGTTTGCCAAATGGACAGGAAAAAGGGACAGAGGATCAAGAAAGCTGGGGCACTGGAGAGAGAGTGGAGTGACAATAGCTTCTAAGCTCTACAGACAGAAAAGGAAAACAGAAAAGAGTAAAGTACAGGAAAAAGAATAGGAAGGTTTGGATGACTGGAGTTGTCAATGGAAGAGAATTAAATGAGACAAAGCACGTAAAACACTCTGCAGAGTGACTGAAACACAGTTATAAGTGCTCAAGAAGTCTTATTATTAACCAGGGTTTAACACTGAAGGTTTAGATTATTCACAAGAGAACCTAAATATAATGACGTAGTAATTTACAGTCAGACATGTCAGACAGATGAGAATACAGAAGCAAAGTCATTTTAGCTGGCAAGTGAGCCCAGTTAACTGCCCAGTATCTAATCATCAAATCAGCTTTGTGGTTCTCTCACATAACTCTCAGTAAGAACTTTAACATAAGCTTCCAAGTTCCAATTATGCTTTAATTCATTTAATGTGGGGAAACTACAAACTATGGTGTATTCAGGAAGGTTTTAAAACATCTGCCTCCAATGTGAAGGGACTCCTGCACTTCATTAACACAAAAGAAGAGTATGGCAATAGCAATGTGCATGTGCAATAGTAATTGTGGCCCAGACCTGCCTTGTAAATTCTCTATTTCACATATCATGTAATAAGGTTAATCTAAACAAAAAGTTAAAGAAAGAAATGAAAAGGCATTAAACTCAATTAAATAAAATGCTCCTATACACCCAGTTAGAATGGCTAAAGTGATAAGATGGACATCATCAAGTGATGGCAAGGATGCGAAGCAAAAGCCTCTGTCACACACAGCTGGCAGAAATGTAACGTGATACAATCACTCTGGAAAACTATATGACAATATCTTTTAAAGCTAAATGTAAAGCTTATGATTCAAAAATTCCCATTTGGTTATTTTCCAACACAAATATTAATACATATGAATACCAAAAGGTAGGTACAAAGTGTACAAAAATGTTCAAAGTAGTACTAGTCTTAATAGTCCCAAACTAGAAATAACCCAAATGTCCATAATGACAGAATGGATAAATTGTGATATATTCATACAATGGGATACTATATACCAGAAAGATGAAGTAGTGCCTCACAGAGCACAGATGAATCTCACAAACAATGTTGGCTTTAAGAAATCAAAACACAAGAGTTTATGCCATATGATTACATTTATGTAAGTTAAAAAAACAGGAAAAAAAATCTATGGTTACAGAAATTAAAATAGTTGTTACCACTGCGGGGTTGGTGACTGAGAAGGGGGTCCTCTGGTGTACTGATCATGTTCTAGTCTTGTTGGTGGGATGTGACTCTGAAATAATTAATTGAGCTGTACATTTATGATTTGTTCCCTCTTGCATGTATCCCATACTTCATTGAACAGTTTAAAAACAAAAGGCTAGAAATGACAAAAACAATGAAAAGGCTTTTTCAGGATCCCCTTTGCCTCTACATATAGAATTGGCCACTATGCTACAGACAGATGAAATGACCTATATCAAGTTATCTAAAATAACTAAATGAAATAATGAGAGAGCAGGGATTGGAACTGAGGTATGCTAATCTCACAGTGTTCTCAAATTCTTGAAGGAATGTTTCTGAATGTATACAGAGGGGTCCTTGTCTTCTAGGCACTCATTATTCTAATCCTTAAAGCAGTGAGATTGTGAAGGGATGCAAAAGTTGTCATAAAACAAAAACATTTACTAAAGAACAAGAGCAGTTAAAAAAATAGTTAAAAAAAAAAAAAAAAAAGAACAAGAACACTTATAAAGTTGGTCCATCTCTTAGACATTCCTCCTCTGCCTCCGACCAGCCATTGTTTCTGCCAATTCCCATCAACTGCCCTTGTCAGTTGTTCCTGGTGAATTCTTTCCTGTGTTATGATGTTAAACAGGACAATACAATATAACCATAATGTAAGTCAATCACAAAGTGAATCTGCACATCTTGCAAAAGATGCATGATTCCATGAAGCTGATAAAGTGCTATTGGAGAACTGTTTGAATCACAAACAAAACCACTGACAAAAGGAGAACCTGGCAGATTAAGGTCAGTTAATCATTGTGGAGGAGATCCCTGGTTGTTCACCAAGTAACTTATTTTTTCCTTCCTACTCAGTAACAGAACCCTGATTTTTCAGTAACTGTGTTTCTATTTTAACAGTAAATAAATTATGTTAATATATCCCAAAGCTAAGAAATGTGAGTCAGATTTTTAAATCCGAAGATCTAAATGGACAGTCTCAGACAATCCTCTCCTCAAGTAAATATTTGATGCTGCAATCTGGTTGCACCCTATCTATTTAGGGATTGAGGCAATGCTTTACAATGCTATGATCTGCAAATGAAAACATCTATTTGAGGGAGTGGGAGGGAACCTACTGAGTCTTCAACAAGTTTGAGCACTGCTAAACTATGTTCAACTACCATTACAGGCAGACAATAGCTAAATGAACCAGCAATTTGAAGTCTGTGGTATTGCAGACAAAAAAAGGTTTACATGAAAGGAACATGAATTTGAAAATAGATACATGAAAATAAGTTACATAAATTAACGAATTCAGACATTCACAGTACTTCACCACAAAGGCCAGGAAAGATTTAAAAGCATTCCTATAGACTGCACTGGTGCACTGCAGCAAGAGCTGGTGAACAAAGACAAGATCCCTGCAGTTAGCGTTTGATAATAGAAACCGAAAGTTAGTAGCTTCATAAACATCTTAAATTCCTCTACCGTTGTCCATATTCCCAGCAGAACCACTAGACAAAGCAAACTAGGTTTTGCAGTTACACATAACTCACATCCTGCTTTGTCCTCTTCAAACAGGATCCCAGTCAACAAAATCCAGACATTCCCATAAATCTCCTTAGTTGTGTATTATCTATAAATAAAGCTTACAGAAAAGAAAAACAAGTGACTTTCTATGCTTATCGGTACAGTAGATTTATGGAATTAAAAAAAAAGCCTCTTTAGTTGACCTTCGCCAGCGTTAAAATCCGTTCTTTTCATAACCCACCTTTCGCCGATGTGCTGCAGACTTTCATGAATGCAACACACGCCAAAGACAGAACAAAGAGCCCCTCCTAATAAAAGAGGCGCACAGTGCCCTTAGAAGGTGGCATGGTATTTATGGATAGCTGCTTCTGCTCTAAATTAACACGTACAGAAGGACTAGTCTTCAACTAGCTCCACCAGGAACACAGGAGGGGGCTGGGATCCTTAATCAAGAGCGGCTGATTTCAGGCCAGCAACTCTCCTCCCTTCCGGGGCTTTGCCAATGGGCTTCTTTACACAAGATCTCACGACACCTTAAAACGACTCGCCAGTGGAAGGATCCTCGCCTCACAAAGGGATAACTAGGGCAGAGCTGTTACACAACCCATACCCGACGGCGAAAGGCAGCCCGAGGAGGCCCCCAGGAGTCTGACTTGGGAGCGACATCCTCGACAGACGAGGAGCCACTTTTGCTCGAGAATTGTCTTACGCGCCCCTCTACCAACTGCGGACTCCTTCGCCGCGAAAATGGAAGGAGGGGCGAGAACAGAGGAAGAGGGGCGCAATCCACAGGGCGCGGGGTTCGGTCTCAGGGGTCGGAACCCCGGACCACCTCCCACCGTCGTTCGTCACTCCCACAGAGGCGGTACCTGTTTCCGCATGTTATTCATGACGCCCATGAAACCCGCCAACAATTTAGCTTCTTCCCGAGCAGCAAGTTTCTTCTCGGTCTTCTTCTTGCTGCTCTTCTCCACCCCAGAGGCTGCCATCCTCCCTCAGCTCGATTCACGCCCGGAGCTCGCCGGGCTAGGCGAGCGGTCGCACTCTCTGGGCACTCCGGGGATCCTGTCGACCAAACAAGGCGATCGAGACTGCGGCTGCAGCGCTCAGTTCTGGAACTGGCGGCGGTGGCGGCTCGACCACTGCCGAAAAACAAGGCCCGGCGGCCCCCTCAGGCGCGCTCAGGGAGCGACGCTGCCAGCTGGGCTGCGTCCCCTCACAGAACCCGAAACCGGTCGAGGAGCCTGCGCACTTCGCGGAAGAAGGCGGGGGCGCTACGAAGGGCAGGGGCGCGGTCTGATGCGTCACAGTCGCGCGCCGCTCAGAGCAACACGACTGCGGGCACAGGTGCGGCCGGTTCCCTTGTTGGTGTCCGGCGCTGGGTGAATTTTGCCTGGGAGCTGTTCGGAGGTTGCGCCTGCCCTTCTGTGTGCCCGAGGCAGATTTCCAGGTTTCGGTTACGTGATTTTTTTTTTTTTTAATAATTGGGCGGTGGGACATGCAAAGGTGCCTCCCATCAGTGTAAGGCTTCCTGGGAATAGGGACTGTGTTCAGTGCGGTATCTGAGCCTGGTGTATGGTAGGCGCTCAGAAAATACTAAGTGATGAAAGGATATTACTGCAAGTTAAAGTCTTGTTACACGGAGCACAAGATTTATTTTCGCGGGATTCATAAAGCAAGAGCACACAGCCCCGTTGGTATCTCCTTGGCGTGCATGAATGTCTGCCTAACTAGGCTGGCTTACTATGTTTACAGCTGAAATCAGGTGTCAGTCAGTTCTAGAAATCTTCAGTTAGGCTTTCTAAGTGTTTTTACGGGAACACGGAACTCAATCACAGCCTTCATGGAAATGCTTTTTGTAACCATATTCTTTCTAGTGTATAGTAATGTACAGGATTATTTGAAATTGTGCATTCTTTAACATTCTGAAAACTTTATATCACATTGATTTTCTTCCTCAGTCTATATAGAACTATATAGAAACATCTTTTATGTAAAATAATTTACACCATTGAGGCATTGAGGCTTTTTTTTCTTTTTTTGAGGCAGGGTCTCAGCTCTGTCACCCAGGCTGGAGGTACAGTGCAATGGCTAATCATAGCTGACTGAAGCCTCAGGACTCCTGGGCTCAAGCAATCCTCCCATCTCAGCCTCCCAAGTAGTTAGGTCTACAGGCCTGCAACACCACTCTGGGTAATTTTTAATTTAAAAAAATTTTTGTTGCTGGTGATGGTGGTGAAGAGGTCAGACTATGTTGCCCAGTCTTGTCTTGAACTCCTGGCGTTACTCAATCCTCCTGCCTATGCCTCCCAAAGTGCTGGGACTACAGGCATGAGCTGCCAGGCCTATCCCACACATTATACTTTTCTTGTTGAGGACAAACAATATAGCATAAAAGAGCAAGCTGTATATACTCCTCCATTTTTACAAAAGAGTAAGATATTTATGTATCTGTACACTTTATCATTCTTCTTTTAATCTAGAGGTTCTCAGATGTGCCTCTATTTTAACTAGTTGATTTAGGGATTTAAGGTGAACCCTGGCAATAGGAATAATTTATTGTTAATAAAATTAGAAGTGAAGTAGAAACTTGTCCTCTAACTCTAAGGCCTTGGGAGACAAAGGATCTGTGATTGAAAGGCAGAAATGTAAGTGATGAAAAAGAGTGCTATTCTGTAATAAGGCAAAAAAGAAACAAGGAACAGCATCCCTAGTACTTGATGTTAGAACAGCCTTTCTACATATTGCTGAATGTAAAAGATCTAAGTTCATGGGAGAGCCACAGGATTCAGAGCTCAAAGAGACCACAGAGGTTATATAGTACGGGGGTTAAGCATGAGACTTTGCCTGGATGCAAAGACAAGTATCTCAGCTTTCTAGTTGTGCAACTTTGGACAAATTGCTTAACTTCTCTTATGACTCAATCTCCTTATCTGTGAAAATAGAACCTACTACATGGAAGTGGCGTGAGGATTATAAAAATGCTTAGAGGGGGCTGGGCGCAGTGGCTTATGCCTGTAATCCCAGCACTTTGGGAGGCTGAGGCGGGTGGATCACGAGGTCAAGAGATGGAGATCATCCTGGCCAACATGGTGAAACCCCGTCTCTATTAAAAATAGAAAAATTAGGCTGGGCGCGGTGGCTCATGCCTGTAATCCTAGCACTTTGGGAGGCCAAGGTGGGTGGATCACCTGAGGTCAGGAGTTCAAGACCAGCCTGGCCATCATGGTGAAACCCTATCTTAAAATAAATAAATAAATAAATAATAAAAAATAGAAAAATCAGCCGGGCGTGGTGGCACGCACCTGTGGCCCCAGCTACTTGGGAGGCTGAGGCGGAAGAATCGCTTGAACCCGGGAGGCGGAGGTTGCAGTAAGCCGAGATTGCACCACTGCACTCCAGCTTGATGACAGAGCAAGACTCCGTCTCAAAAAAAAATGCTTAGAGGAGTACCAGCATAAGACACTTACAATTACTTTACCGAGTTATTAATACACACATACCTCAGAGATATTCCAGGTTCTGTTCCAGGCCACCACATAAAGTAAATATTGCAGTAAAGTGAGTCACACAAATTTTTTGGTTTCCCAAAACATGCAAGTTATGTTCACACTATAGTGTGGTCTATTAAGTATGCAATAGTGTTACGTCTGCAAAAGCAATGCACATACCTTAATTAAAATGTGCTTTGTTGCCAAAAATTGCTAATGATCATCTAAGCCTTTGCCAGTTGCAAGTTTTAAATTTATTTTTGTTTCTGTTTTTTTTAAGCAATGGAGTCTTGCTATGTTCTCCAGGATTGAGTACAGTGGCTAATCCCAGATGTGATCATAGTACACTACAGCCTCAAAGTCCTGGGGTCAAGCAATCCTCCTGCTTCAGCCTCCTGAGTTACTGGGACTACAAGCCCACACCACCATGCCCACTAGATTCACAGTCACATTTCTTATGGAAGCTCTTGCCTCAATGTTGATAGGTGCTGACTGATCAGGGTCAGGTTGCTGACTGATGAGAATGGTAGTTTCTGAATGTTGAGAGTAGCTATGGCAATTTCTTAAAATAAGACAACAATGAAATTTGCGGCATTGATTTAAATCCCTTTCACAACAGATTTCTTCATATCATGCAATGCTGTTAAACAGCATTTTACCCAGAGTAGAACTTCTTTGAAAATTGGAGTCACTTCTCTCAAACCCTGTATCTGCTTTAATCAACTAAGTTTATGCACTATTTTAAATCCTTTGTTGTCATTTCAACAATATTTACAGAGTCTTCACCATGAGTAGATTCCTATTCAAACAACCACTTTCTTTGCCCAGCCATAAGAAGCAACTCTTCACTCATTCAAGTTTTATCATGAGATTGTGGCAATTCTGTCACATCAAACTCCGCTTCTAATTCTAGTTGTTTTTCTTTTTCTACAGCATCTGCAGATACTTTCTCCACAGAAATCTCAAAACGTTTCAGATTCGTCCATCAGGGTTGGAATCAGCTTCTTCCAAACTTCTGTGAATGTTGATATTTTGACCTCCTCTCAGTCACAAATGTTCTTAATGGCATCTAGAATGGTGAATCTCTTCCAGAAGGTTTTCTATGTACTTTGCCCTGTTTCATCAGAGGAATCACTATCTATGGCAGCTCTAGCCTTATGAAATGTATTTTTTAAATAGTAACAGCTAAAAATCAAAATGACTCCTTGATCCATGGGCTGTAGAATAGATGTTGTATTAGCAGTCATGACAACAACAATAATCTTCTTGTACTGCACCAATATAGCTCTTCGGTGACCAGATGCATTGTCAATGACCAATACTATTTTGATAGAAAACTTTTTTTTTTTTTTTTTTTTTTTTTAGTGGTAGGTCTCTACAGTGGACTTAAAATATTCAGTAAACCATGTTGTAAAAAGAGGTGCTGCCAGCCAGGCATTGTTGTTCTATTTATAGAGCACAGGCAGAGCAGATTTAGCATAATTTGTCAGGGTTCTAGGATTTTTGGAATGTTAAATGAGCACTGGCTTCAACTTCAAGTTACCAGCTACATTAACTCCTAACAAGAAGAGTCATCCTGTTCTTGAAGGTTTGAAAACAGGCATGGACTTCTCTCTAGCTATGAAAGTGTTAGATGGCATCTTCTTCCAATAGATGTTGTTTCATCTACATTGAAAATCTGTTGTTTGGTGTAGCCACCCTCATCAGTGATCTAAGCTGGCTCTTCTGGATTACTTGCTACAGTTTTTACATCAGCACTTGCTGCCTTACATTACACTTTTACGTTATGGAGATGGCTTCTTTCCTTAAATCTCATGAATGAACCACTGCTATCTTCTGGCTTTTCTTGAGAACAACTTTCTCACCTCTTTCAGCTTTCATAGACCTGAATAGTGTTAGGGCCTTGCTCTGGATTAGGTTTTGGCTTAAGAAATGTGGTAGCTGGTTTGATTTATTCAGACCACTAAAACTTTCTTCATATCTCAAGCCATTGAGGCTGGCTTGCCTTTTTGTCATTTGTATGTTCACTGGAGTAGCACTTTAAATTTCCTCCAAGCACTTTCACTTCTCATTCACAGCATGGCTGCTTGGTGCCAAGAGGCCTGGCTTCCCTGTCTTGGCTTTCAACATGCTTTCCTCATTAAGCATAGTCATTTCTAGCTATTTATTTAAAGTTAATGACGTGCAACTCTTCCATTCGCTTGAACACTTAGAGGCCATTGTAGGGTTATTAGTTGGCTTAATTTCAAAATTGTTGTGTCTCAAGGAATAGAGAGGCCTGGGGAACAAGGAGAAATGGGGAACAGCTGGTCATTGGAGCAGTGAGAACATACACAACATTTATTGATTAAATTTGCTGTTAAATGGGCTTGGTTCATGGTGCTCCAAAACAATTATAATAGTAACATCAAACATCACTGGTCACAAGTCACCATAACAGATAATAATAATATTTGAAATACTGCAAGAGTTAATGAAAATGTGACTCAAGGACACAAAGTGAGCATATGCTGTTCAAAAAATGCTGCTGATAGACTTGATCCATGCAGGGTTGCCACAACCATTCATTTGCAAAAAACAAAATAAAAAATGCAGTATCTGTGAAGCACAGTAAAGCAAACTGTAAATAAAATGAGGTGTGCCTATATTAACTTTGTTACTATTTAATCCAGACTTTCCCAAAATGTGTTTCTTGGAATACTATTAGTCTTATGATTCCCCTAACCCGAGTTGGTTCTCTGGGAATACATCCACAGGAGGATAGGTCCTTGGATGATCTTG